GTCTTTTTTCATATTCAGTTCTATATTGTGAGTCTATTGTAAAAAAGGGTCTAAGTACTTTCGATTTCCTATTGTATGATTTTTGCATGAAGAAATAAAACAGAAGTTCTTGTATTTTGCTTGTCTTGTTCTCGAGTGCTGAACTTATTTCATGTAGAACTTCTGTTTTATTTATGCATTTTTCAGATTTTCAGGCAGCAAATTTTAAAACTTTGTGCCGACCGGAATATTTGGAGTTACAGGGAGATATTGGTATGGAATTGAAGATGAGATTAAGAGCTTTCCACAGGTACCATTTTTCGGTGGTTTAGGTGGCCGTAGCTTGCCAGAATTTGGCTCCATATACGGCGGCTAGAGGGGCAAAAATTGCTCCACAATTAGAGCGCGAAATTATATTTATTTGGACTCATTTGCACTTTTTAAAAAAATTGAGGAGTAAGATTTTAATTTGTTCTTTATTTTTCTTCTCTCTTTTTTTGTTTTATTTAAATAGAAGGGTATATTGGTCATTTTACGTTAAAAATGGTGAAAATGATGTTTTCCGCAATGAAACGTTGAAATAAGGACGAAAATGCAAAAAAATGAAACTTATGGACGTTTTCCACAAGAAATGTCAAACGTATGGACGTTTTGTTTTGAAAAGGATGTTTTCCGCAGTGAAACGTTGGAATAAGGACGAAAATGTGAAAAAATGAAACGTAATAATGTTTTCCACAAGAAGTGTCAAACGTAGAGACGTTTTGTGCTATTAAGCCTATTAAATTTTATACTTATTCTTACATTATTATCATGAACTAGTACATGAGAGGTACTCCTAGGTACTTGCCTAGATCTGCAGGGAGATAAATTTGACATCTCGCACTGATTTCCCGAGCTCTGTAGTTAGAAATTTAATTTTCGAAAAAAAAAGAAGATTATTTTTTCGTTTTTAAATGTTAATGATTTTTAAGTTATAATTTTCTTGTATTTACTTTTACTTTGTATTCTGAGTATTAATCTTTACTGTCACTTTTTACATTGAAGGATGAAATTCGAAGATTATAATAGTTGAAAAACCAAATTAGATGATTGAAATAGTTGAGGGAACAAAATTGAAGATTCTAATAGCTGAAGGATTGAATTTGATTATTTTAATAGTTGAATGACCGAAATAAAGGATTCACATGGATCAAGGACCTAATTATGAGATTAAAATAGTTCAGGGACTGAATTTGATTATTTCAATAGTTGGAGGATCAAATTTGTTGTTTCAAATAGTTGAAGGGCCGAACTGAAGGTTGAAATATTTGAAGTTGGACATGGAAATAGTTGAAGGGTCGAAACTTGAAGATTCTAATAGTTGAAGATCATGTCAAACCAGCCCTCATACGATTTATGAATAGTAAATAAGTCCTCAAACTATTAAACAATAGTAATTTGGTCCTCAGTCTATTAATAAAATATTGATCTGGTCATCAAACTATTAGAAAATATTAAATAAGCTATCTAACTACTAAGTAGCGACTACTAAGACCTCAGATTATTAGAGAATAGTCGTTTGGTCATCCAACTATTTAGTAACAGCATTTCAGTCCTCTGGCTATTCAGAAACAGCAAATCTGTCCTCCGACTAATAGTAATTGTGTCATCAAACTATTAGAAAAATTCAAATCAGCCCTCCTACTAATAGTAAATAACAAATTGGCCATCAAACTATTAGGAAACAGAAAATAAGCAAACCAATTTGTTCCTTAGGTCAATTTAAATGCAACATTTTGGTCCCATAACTACTTTAAGACTACAATTTCATCCTCCAACTATTTTTAGGCAACAATTAGGTCCTCCAACTATTTCTTTCTCTACCAATCATGTTTTGAATAGTTATTTTTAGAAGAATGTGGGGTTAAAAAGTATGAAAATATTTTGAGTTTACATGCAAAATATGTTATCATGTGATTATATTGTTGAAAATGTGTGTAATAGAAAAAAAGTCATAATGGTTGTCGAATAGGGCTAAATCTCCCTTGCTTCTCTAGACATTACATTCCACCACTTTATGGAACATTGAAGCCTTCGAAATGACATTGGAAATAGCTTCGACTTCATCGTCTGATAGTTAGCCCCTGTTTGGGCTTCTTTTTTCCAAAAATCAATTTTTTAAAACTCATTTTTAAACACACATTCTCCTATAAAATAATTTTACACGTAAATCCAAAATTTTTCCTTATTTTTTAATCACATGTTTTCTTAAAAATCACTATTTCAAAACATATCCCCCCAAAAAAATAAAAATAAGAGTCGGACAAGAGCTTAAATTGATCTGCAAAAGTGAATTTTCTATTTCTTTTTCCAAGTCATTATTTTTTCCAAATTATATTCTTCATGACTACAATAAAGTTCCATAAACCTCCATAACTCAAAAACCACAGTTTTTTTTGTTTTATATATATAAAACACGGAAATAATTTTACAACAGTGCTCGTGAAAGCTACATAAGTTATTAAAATACACATATTTTACAGCAATTACAACAC